CATTAGAATCATTGTAAATCAATATGCAAACAATAAAAATTCATTTTTGAAACATGATATTCTCACTTTGACATCGTGTTTAATAAAATATTTTTTTTTATAGATTATGTAATAGTCTTCAACATTTTATTAATTTATTTTAAGTATAATACTTTAATTATATTTTTTATTATCAAAAAATTAACACTTTCATTAATTAAATTGAAATAAATGCAGGGTTTATCAGATTTAGTAAAATGTCCTTGATTTTAGACGGGTAATATATTTTTTTTAAATTTTACTATTCATAGGAAATCTTTAATATGCAAATTATTTTACAATTACGAAAAGCATATAATTTATTTATAATTTTAATTTAATATACAATTTAGTTTTTGTACAAAATTGAATGTCCAATCGAAACACAATATGACAACAATTATCTATCATATTTATAAGGCATAAATTAATAGCAATATAAGAAATTTAATATTTATTAAAAATTGTAAATTGCATGATAAAATTTAATAGTTAAATAAATAATTTAATTTCTACGTTAAATTCAAAAGTCACTATGATACATTTAAAATGCATAACACAATAGTAATACAAACATAACAAATAGTCGTCAAATAGTAATTCAAATACAATATGAATAAATTGTATTAATAAACACATTAATCATAATTAAAATATCATTTCTAATATATTTGTGTCTATAATGTATGCGTAAAATAAGTTTTTCTTATATTTGTTTGATTTAATAAATAATTTGTAAAATTCATAAAACATTACGAAAATAATTTTTACGATATTTCAAGGCTTTTAGCGTTTTATTTGTATAACATATTGAATATAAATAACTTTTATATATCTAAATACAAATAGTTTTTATATAATTATTTTATCTCTTTATTACTGTTTGACAGATGAGAGAGAGAGAGAGAGAGAGAGCTATTAATACAAAAGCACTCAATCAATAGCCGAAAAAAATGTAACAAATTTTTTTGGACACTATTCAAGAATATTCTGTGTATTCCGTGCACTAAATAATACCAACAAAATCCTAAATTCAATACTAATTGAAAGCAAACATAAAAATCAATTGCTTTTAACAAATCATTTGACATGAATTGGTCGTGTTTAAATTATTTAATATAATAATATTTATTAATAAACTGTATATTTATGTCGTGTGTGTGTGCGGGATATCATACATCATGTCGTGTGCATCTCACTTGACATCCCATTCCCATTCAACTCCATGTATACCAATGTTGTTGTTGTTGTTTACGCGGTTGTCATTCATGGTATATGTATGATATACACGGTGTCTATCATTATTAACCCCATTATTATTAACTCGCATTAAGTTATTATTATTATTAATAAATATTTTTAGTGAACACATAATATGTCACATAAAATGTGTTTAATACCGGGGTTTACGACACATTTGCTGCTAACGCACGGGTCCTATTACGGCTGTAACTTAGAAAATAGATAGTAATATAAAAATTATTTATTAATGCATTTTGACGTTAATTTTTAAAATGAGAAATGAGATTTAGATTTACTTTATGCCAATTATAGTAATGTGGTTTACACACTGTATGTTATTGTAAGTGATTATGAATTATAGCAAAAGTTTGTGTGTTATGTTTCGTACGTAGAAAGTTGTGAATTGTTTTATTGTAGCAATTTATATTTAGCTAGCTAATGTCATTATAATGTGAGTATAACTGTGCAGTTTGTTGAACCCGTGTTTTATATGCAAAAATCACTTTCTATTGTTTTTATTATGCATTTGTAGACACAATCATAACTCAGATCTTTTTGTTTTGACATAATTTCCTAACACTTACAGAAATATATAAAAATAAAATTCACAAACTTTTCAAATATGCTTTAAATAAACTTCAATTTTTTGCTTATTATGTAGTAATTGAATATTTGGCATATTATATGTACTGCACTATTTGCACAACTATTTTAATTAACTTTCTCGTAGTTTTTTGAGACAATTAATTTGTTATATTTTATAAATTTAGCATGGCATTACTATACTGTTCAGCTTAATTAATCATTATATAGGCTAATAACACAGAATATTCTGTATGATTCAAAATAATATTCTGGATAATTGGTTTTCAACTAAATATAGTGTTGTTTATGCATAAATAGCAAATAAGTGTGCAATATTCATAATCCTTAACATAATGTGTTATATACATGCATAGCGTGCAAATTTTAATAAATAAACAGGATAATAATCATTTCTTAAGTTAATAGCTATTATTATAACCTAGATAATGTAATCATTTAGAAAAATAGTTTTGATTTATGTATAAATTTATATTTATATGTATACAGTTACCCCACAAACCAATAGTTAATTATTATTTCCTAAATTTTATTAATAAAACAGAAAAATAGAAAAAGCATTAAATAATAGAAATAAATAATAAGAAAATAGCAAAGAATTCATTCAACAAGCAGATTTTATTATCGTATAATTTAAAATTAAGTACTATATAAATATGAGCATTGTAAAAATTTTTAGCAAATTAATCTCAATTAGATGCTAAACTAAAAGACTGATGAAAATGTTGGAAATACCTCCAAATGATAACAACGGCTAACGCGATACACAGTAGTATAGCTACAACTAATAAAAATATGACCAGGGCCTTGGATGAGCCGGCACTTTTCTGGGTAGGCTTACTGCCCCCATCATCGGTCGACATGGTTGGCAGCACTTGTACGCCCCCTCCCGGGCTGGTAGTCATGTGTGGCAGTAGTGTTGGCTTTGGGTGACTATGGGCTGAGTCGGTGATGAGGGGCTGGGACTCCACGTCCTCCTCGTCCGGGTGAATGGCCACACATTTCCGCTTTTCCGGCCGATATTTGGGACGGCATTCACATACACCGTATACAGTGTTGCAGTGCTGGTGCTCACCGCAGGGTAGGAGGGAGTCGA